TTAGTAAATTTTATTAAATTATAAAAGTTTCCATTTCCACCCCCCCTCCCAACACCCTCCCACTCCCGCTACTCCCCCTCCTCCTCCCTCTTCGTCCCCCAGGGCAGTCAGGGTTTCCTGCCCTGTGGGAAGTTCCAGTTCCTTCCCCCTCCCTCCAGGTCCAGGAAGATGAGTGTCCAAACAGACTGGATCCCCAAAATCCATTATATGTAGAGGAAACAGGTCCCAGTGTCATAGTCAATGGCTTTTCAGAAAGACTTTGGGTCAGCCACAGTCAGAGAATCCGGCCAAATTCGGAGAGTCTGGTTAGATCACGTCCTCTTTCAGTCCCAGTCCAACTGGCCTTGGTAAACTCTCATCAGATCCGTTCCCTTGTATCAGTGGGTGATAGCATCACTCGCAGTACTGATTTCGTTTTTCATGTTCTTCCTCCTTCTGCTCCTCATTTGGGAGCGCCTTTTTGCTTTCTTCTTTATATTGCTCCAAAAGCTTTTGGGCTTCCTCCTTCTGAAGTTCAACATAGGTTATTTCATCAAAGCATTCAGCAAACTCTGGCAGGGTGAAGTTTCCTTTCATTTTAAGGACAGCATGTTCTGGGAGGTCTTTCCCCTCTACTTCTGCTTTCTTCTGTGTCCTCTGCTTATAGTCTTCATCTTTTGGGCAAACGACAACAGCTTTCCGCTGGAAGCCTGCAAACAGGCACATTTTCCTCCGCTGGGCAGCAGCAGACACATTTGTCTGATCCAGAATAAAATTCCGCTTCTTAGCCGTCCTTCGCCAGAGGAAGGATCTATGGTGATAAGCAAAATATACATCAGTATGGTCATGGGCCACGGCCGATTCAGGCACCCTCTCCTCTGTCCAGAGAGCAATCTGGGGGATTTCTCCTTGGACCTGGGATCCCATATATAATCAAGTCTCCTGTAAACCCTAAAATGGCTCCCTTAGTTGAAATATATTGTTCCCTGATCCCATATTCATCCTACCTCCCTCCCGCCCCATCCCCGGCCACCAAGCTTTCCCCGTTCCTCCCCTACTCCCTTCTCTCTAGTCCTCTCCCCCTCCATCGACCCTCCCACCCCCCTATGCACCCGAGGTTACCTGGGACTCATGTATATTTCCTACCTCCTGGTGGATAGCTAAATAATCTTCATCAGGTTCATCTTCTTATTTAGCTTCTCTAGGATCACGAATAATAGGCTCAAAGACCTTTAATTATGGTTAGAATCCACTTATGAGTGAATACATACCGTGTTCCTCTTTTTGGGTCTGGCTTACCTCACTCAGAAAAGCGTTTTCTATTTCCATCCATTTGCATGCAAAATTCAAGATGTCATTGTTTTTTACCGCCGAGTAAAACTCTAATGTATATATGTTCCACACCTTTTTTAACCATTCTTCTATTGAGGGGCACCTAGGCTGTTTCCATGATCTGGCTATTACAAATAGTGCAGCTATGAACATAGTAGAACAAATGCTTTTGTAGTATGTTAGGGAATCTTTAGGGTATATTCCCAAGAGTGGTATTGCTGGGTCCTGAGGGAGGTTGACTCCCAGTTTCCTGAGAAACCGCCACACTGCTTTCCACAGTGGCTGCACGAGTTTGCATTCCCACCAACAATGGATGAGTGTTCCCCTCACCCCACATCCTCTCCAGCATAGGCTATC